TTAGTTACCTCATCCATTCTACCTCACAGAGTGATTTGAACTCAAGTGATATACAAACATGCTTAGCAAGTGCCTCTCATGCAGTGTCTCTATTCAGATAGCTCTGGTGGTGTCCTTTCTAGGGCATTTGACTGCTAACCAGAAGTCTGGCGGTTCAAACTCACTAGCCACTCCCACTCCTCGGAAGGAAGACTGGACAATCTACTTCTGTAGAGATATTGCCTCAGAAACCCAAAGAGGGATCTCTATGAGTCGAAATCAACTTGACACTGATTTTTTTTTTTTTTTTTAATTGGCATAACTTGGATCTGAACACAAGGAATTTAACATCTTGTTCCCTACCAGACCTTATGTTAGGCAATAAAAGTAAGCAATAGATAAGAAAGCCTCTGTGTTCAAAGAGGCAATAATAAAATAGAAAATTTCAACACAGTGTGGTAGGGACTCTGATCATGATATATGTGGGATGATACAGTACCTCACAAATAAAATATTTGGGGACAGTGTTGATGGCATGGTCAATTATGCTGATGGAAAGGTTTGCTAGTTTTCTATTTCTCCTAGACTAAAAGGTCCACTAAGGCAGGAACACAGCACTATGTTTCCTAGGGGAACTGTAGGGGAAAGAGGAGGAAGGAATATTTCAGGTGATGCTTAAATGAAGAAGGACTTAGCCAAGTGAAAAATAGAAGTAAAAGCAATCTAGTCAGAGGGAACTGCATGAACAAAGTCATGGAGACCAGAAACAGAATTGTATGTTTAGAAAATCAGAGACACGTTGTTAAAACAGATGAAATACAAAATATGGGGAAGGGAGTAAGGTGAGAAGAATCAGTAGGGGTAAGAGCATGAACTTTGTTTGCCAAGGTAAGGAGTGTGGCACTTGTGTGGGTGAACACTCTTGAGGCTTGAGTGGGCAGCTGCTGATCTGATTTGACAAGATCTGAAAGCTCTACCTCAACCCTAAAATATGTCTCCTTCACTAACCTGCCAAAGTACCTATGATTTTTTTTTTTTACTCTCAAGCTCAAAGTAATAACCACATTAACCAAAAGCAGCTGTTACTTTGTATTCTCCAACTAATGTATCAGATGTGCTAGCCAGATTAATTCTTACCACAACCCTAGGAGGTACGTAACTATTATTATCCCATTGGACAAAGGAGAAAAAACTAAAGCACAGAAAGATTGAGTGGCTTGCCCAAAGTACACAGCACACAAGTATTAGAGTCAGGATTCAGACCTAGTTACGTTGGCTCCAGAGTTGATTCTCTTAACAACCATATTACCTGACATCTCCCTTCCAGACTATTTCTCTCTTTAGCAGTACACAGTATCCACTATGTAACTCGTTTCATAAGTTTTTCATTTCTATAATCCAAAATTTAAATTCTAGAATTTCTTTTTAATTCTTTTAGGATCTACTTTTTTGTCCTATTATCTTCTACTGCCCCCCTCCATGGTTTCTATTCCCTCTTTCACCATGAATCATTTTAAACATATATATTCTCTCATATTGATCTATCATCTTTAGTGTCAAGGTATGACCTCTCTGTGCAGGCTCTCTCTCATGGTGGCTTTTTCCCTCTCTTACATGCACTGTAATTTTTAAAAGCAAACTCAACCTCAGCAGGAGTTTTTTTTTGTTGTTGTTTTGTGGTTTTGATTTGTTTTTCATGAAAAATTCACATCCCCTGTGGTGTTAAGATATTTTTATGAGTTGGTTTGGGGTTTGCCCCATCAGGTTCCCATGGTTTAATCAATTCCAGACCAAGTTTTTATGTTATCTTCTTGGTTTGTGGCTAGCGCACCACATGAGAAGAACCAACCCCATAGTCACATATAGTGCAGGCTGAGGTTCTGACTTTTTTATAGGTGACTCTATTTCCCGCCAGAGGCCTAGGGCTATTGATAGACTTCCATACCACATCCTCAGCAAACTGTTCCTTATTGCATACTTGGTCCACTCACAGCCTCATGTAAGGAGTTTGTTTCCTATGGTCTCAAGCCTCATTCCCATAGGATTCTGAAACAGCAGCTCCTTATGACTACACATACTTTCCATATTTTCATACGACCTTTTGCTTAATCCCTCTCATTGCTAATTGCTCTACCACTGAGTGTGTTCTTTAATTCTGGCACCTGGAGATCACCCATTTTTGTGTACCAGCCTGACAATTGATTTTTTTTTCATTGTATATTTATTTCTATCAGCATCTCTTTGTGTTTTGGGGGAATGCCCCTTGACAGCTTAATCTATCAAATGAACCAGAAGACTGTGATTTTCCACTAGGCTGTGAGTCCACAGAGGACAGGAATCTTTGCTTGATTTATGAAATAGATCTTTATGCTTTACATAGTTCCCAAATCAGGGTAGGAATCTATAAGGATTTGATCTATAAACAAATAATGAGTTAATCATCTTTTCCTCTCATTCTAACTGGTACTTGAAAGACCATACATTAACTATCCTCTAGGGAAAGGTGACACTAAGAATCAGCAAAAACCACCCGTGTTCTCTGGAAGGTTGTACCGACCAAAACAAGCTTTTGAGGCCTGACAAACTCCTGAACAAAGGTCCAATCTTTTGGCCAATACTGACACCACTCTTTTCTTAAAGGGGTAACCACTGTTCATTACAATGCTGGTCTGGTGTCAATTCCAAGTCCAGCAGGTTTGGTTCCAGACTGGTGTCTCTGCTGCTTTTATTAGCACATGTTGATGTCATTCTATAGCCATAACTAGAACCTGATGAATAATATGCATTATGCCCTGACGTAATTTTTCTGTTGGCTTCATGAGGAGCTGTGCCAATAAAGTTCACATACCTTAAAGCACCTAGCACCATGACTGACACAGAGTAGTCTCTAAAGTTAAGATTTGTTGTTGTTGTTGGGTGCCTTCAAGTTGATTCTGACACATAATGACCCTATGTAACAGAGGAGAAATGCCGCACAGGGCTCCCGAGGCTGTAATCTTTAAGGAAGCAGATTCCCAGGTTATTTCTCCCTATGGCACTGCTTGTGGGTTCAAACTGTCAACCTTTTGTTTAGCAGTCAAGTGCTTAACCATTACACCACCAGAGCTGCTTAAATTAACATTTAGTGCCCTTTATTTTACCTTCCCATTTTAAAAATTCCCATAAATATTTACTGAAAATACATCCTACCTTCCAGGCACTGTGCTAGGTGTCAGGATGAAAAGAATTACATGCACTCCCTATTTTAATACTCTTCATTAGAAAAAAAAAAAAAAATTAAACTTACTGTCATCAAGTGAATTTCGACTCATAGCTACCTGCATTGGGTTTCCAAGACTATAAATCTTTACAGAAGAAGTAGATTGCTTCATCTTCCTCCCACAGAGCAGCTGATGGGTCTGAACACCCCTGGTTAACACCCTTACCCATTATACCAACAGAGCTCAAGAAATGTCCAAATCAAATTTGACAACAGAAAAATTATTCTAAATGACCTTTAAAATAAGGTGAAAAAACATCTCACCTCATCCTGCCATGCTAAAATGCCTAATACAGAATTACCAGTAAAATAACTTTGCCTTTTTGCTGTTTTATAAAATAAAATTTTTGTCCTTTTGCTGTTTTACAAAAATAACTTTATAAGTTATCTTCCCCCAGAGAGGAAAAACAGTTAAGTGAATATATAAGCAAACAAAAGAGAGCTGATCATAAAAGGTAATTTTTGGCAATGACATTTGAGCTCTTTTATCACTATAATCCCAGGACCTAGAATAATGTCTGAACTAAAGTGAAAATTTAAGTTTTTTGAGAGTAAATACACATGCATATGGATGTGGCTCTTCACTAGATAAGGTATGACTTGACATTCTATACAAAAATATTAAGAATGTCCTATGAAAAAGAATTTTTGCTAGATTTTGTGACAGAGGCCTTCTCCCCACCACTACAAAATTAAAAAAGAAAAAAAAAAAAAAAGAGGAACAAGATGAAATCCTACTCTGAAAGAACTTCCAGGCTCAAGATAGACAGGAACATAAATTATCATGTTAAAAAAGTGAAAATATTAAGAGAAGAACAGGGAGAAAGGTTATGGAAGTTCCAAATAAGGAAAAGCCTTATTTCTTCTTAAGGGATAAGACAAGGCTGTGGATAATACAGAATTTAAGCTCGGTCTTGAAGGAAAAGTAGGTTGTGGATGGGTAGAATGGAAGGGCGATCCAAGTAGAAGGAATGATTTAGACAAAAACAGAGAACAGGAGAAGCACAGGATATATAAGAAGAAATAGAAATATGGCTGACATGTAAGGTACCTAGAGAGGACAAAAGAAAACTAAAGGTGGAAAGGTAGATTGAGCAGGCTTGCAGGGGCTTTGAATGTGTCCTGATTTATCACTCTGGAACAGAGGCTTTCTATACTGTACCCAGTTCTTGGCATATGGTGGGCCTTAATACCGAACAAAAACCCTCATAGCAGAAACCTGTTCCCCATGTGCACACAGGAAGCTGCCATCTGTAGGCACAGGCAATTACAAACATTCCAAATACTCTGCCCTGAACCCTGCAAGCACATCAAATGCTGCTTGTAAAAGGTCACCCAGCAAACAGCTCTGATCAGTCCTGGCACAGGCTGAATCAAATCCCGTAAATAAGATCCACTAGATGCAGTGTCAGGAAGGTCAGAAACGACCCTATTTCACATCTTGAAGCGTTTTCACCATGTGGAACATTTTAGACAAAGAAGGGAATGGAAGGAAAGAAGACGACGAAGACGATGGGAGTTAAAAAAAAACCCTTTCCAGAAATAAAAGATTGCCAAGTAATATATGTTAAATGATCACAAAGTAAGCAGGGAATTTATTTTGGCCCCCACCTCCTCCTTAAAAAAAAAAAAAAAAAAGAAAAGAAAAATCCACCTCCTCCTAGCAATATAAAAAGCAGTGGATTTCAAAGAAGGCTATACCAGGATTGAAAATGGCGTTTCACGCCTCCCCACCTCTACCTCTCTTGTCCCCACTCTGTACCTTTGTCCAGTTCACTTGAAATGTTCCATGATGAGGTAGGCACTAACTCAGCAGTGACTGACAACTCGGTTTCTGAAAAGAAAAATAAGGGGGGAGGGCAGAGAAAGACAAGGTCAGTATTAAATAGAGTAACTTATGGGCTGTGATATGCATTACAGGAGATTTCCAAAGGCTCTTGGAGACAGACCACTGCAATCCTATCGTTTATTAAACCGGGATGGCTCTTCCGGGCTGCCAGGCAGAGGTGCCTGCACCATAGAGGCCGCCCAGATGGGAAATTATAGGCCAGATTTAAAGACTTTGGCTTTAAAACATTGGCTTGGAAATTAAAATTAAAATATGTCATAAAACAAAAAAGGCAGAAATTATCAGACATTATCAAATAAAAACACTTCCTCTCCTTGTTAGAAGGCCAGTCTTAGATTAAAATATTCAGCAATCTCCCCAGGAAAAATTACAACAACATTGCTGCTGAGTTCATTTGCTTGTGCTTGTGCTTGTGCACTGGTAGCATTTTTATTAATAGAGAAATCCACTTCTCTACATTGAAACTTTAACCCAAATGAAAACTTTCAAGTACTTAAATGTAGTCATCTGTCTGTATTAATGATAAATTTGTATTACATTGTCTATATTAATTAATGTTAAGTATTAACTAAGCTTAAAACACAATTTTTCAAAACCACTATAAATGAAAGCAAATGTGCAAGTAGTGATCTAAAAGAAGCAATACATTATGAGGATCAAAATATGTGTTGATAATATATGGTATTATATAAATGATGTTTTTGTCTTTGCTTCAGAAAATTTAACCCATCACACCATCCTTCTAGTATATATATATATATATATTTTAACTTTATATTGTAATTTGGGTAGAAGTTTACAGAGCAAATCGATTTTCCTGTGAGCATATTTTAATAGGGGTGAACTAATTTTATCCCAGGCATGTTCTCTCTCTTTCACATACGCACATATACACATTCATAGCATTAAAAACAAAACAAAACTGTCTGCCATTGAGTAGAGTGTGACTCATGACAGCCCTGTGTGTGTCAGAGTAGAACTGTGTTACACAGGGTTTCAATGCCTTGTATTTTTGACAGTAGATAGCCAGGTCTTTCCTCTGAGGTGCCTCTGGATAGATTTGAACCTCCAGTCTTTTGGTTAGCAGTTGAGCACTTTAACCATTTGTACCACCCAGCGACATCTTCAGAGTCTTACAGACTTATCAATGTTGGGCAGGATGTTGGCGAGCCCAGGGCTATTAGATATATGGCATACATGTTGTCAATTTCCGTCTGTCACTCCAGTGCAGGCATTAGAACCTTAGCAGTCAGTTAGAACCCTATATGCCTTCCAAGCCTGTTCTCTGCCTTATGGTCTTTCGAACATAGTGCTATACACAGCCACTAAAAAATGGATCTGAGTTGGTATACTAGATAAACTATAGTTAGTGGAAGAATTGAGATGCAGATTCAGGTCTGTCTGACTCTGTCGCCCTCATACCTCCCAGCAAGACATGGTGGCTAGTCTTCAAGTCTTTGTGACATCTAACTTTTGTCCATCTTACCTCTGCCTTGACCCTTTCACCTAGATAAACATACTTTCTACATTTCCTTATTTACTAGTGGTGACTGCCTGCCAAATGGCCATAGAAGCTGTACACCATCGTCACTGACTAAACTTTGCCAAAGACAGTATGTTTACCTACTGAGACCTTGCAAAGGTCCGCTTCCAATCTGTTTACTGGGTCTCTGATCAACCTGCTACACACAGCAGACAACAAAGTTGTTTGGTTAGTGCAGGCTTCCTTGGCTTACCTCTTCCTTGATCCTAGAAGCAGGTGGGAAAGGGAGTAGACAAACCAGACATACCTGGCCCACCTCAAGTGGCTCCAGTCTCCTCATCTGTCTTGAGCCCAAAACAGCACAGACTCTTTTAAACCAAAAAAACCCAAACTCACTGCCATCGAGTCGGATCTGACTCATAGCGACCCCTCCTTGGGTTTCCAGGGCAGTATCACTACGGAAGTAGATTGCCCTGAAATCAGTTCCTGTGGTGCACTGTGGTAGAGTGCTTGGCTGCTAACTGAAAGGTTGGCGGTTCGGAACTCACCAGCCATTCCAGCATAAAAAGATGTGACAATCTGTTTCCATAAAGAATAAAGCCTTGGAAATCCTATAGGGCAGTTCTAATCTATCCTATAGGAGGATCACTATGAGCTGGAATTGACTTGATGGCAGTGGGTTTTGGGCAATATGGGAAGGATCATAAATATGAAACAAACAAACAAAATTTACCCAAGTAGATAGGAAAAATGCTAACACACAATCACAATAGGAGGCAGTGTTTCTGGTGGCGCCAGTCACTTGTCCTAGGGATGGATAATGCATGCGGCCGATTAGGGTTCTCCATATATGACTCTAACTGCATACCACTCTGACCCCCCACCCTGCTGACACCCATTCTGGTTCTTTGAATAATGGTCCCTCTTCTGCAGCATTATGGATTACTGTGGTCCGTTTGCCTTATAAAAAGGCTCTTCAGGCACTCACTCCAATACCCAGACTTCAGGAAGCATGGGAATAGAAGCATGGCAGGTAGGGCAGCATTTTAGGCGAGGAAGCAAAAGATGGGGAAGTGGTGGTATTAAGATAGGTCTTGACTACATTTACATTCAATATTTTCATAGCTTCATCTTACTGCTGCTCACAAGTTAAATTGCCAGAAATATAGGTTTCATTTTACAGTATTCATTTTATAGAAGGTTAGTTACATGTCACTTGATTTTTTCCAACATGAGTATGAATTGCTGACTGAATGAATATAAGTTGGAACTGATGACAAATACATAGATTCTTGGCACTGCTAACAGTGAAATTGTTCCCCCACGTGTCACTGGACACTAATTACCACTCAGTTCTTGGATGATGGCAAAGATAATTTCAATTCAAAAGTTCATTAAATAACTGGGCTGATTTTGAGGAATTTTGTCCTCTACCGTAAGACCCATTCCTTGAGATAACCATACGTTCAGCTTCTCTGATAGGAATGATAATAACAACAGATAAAATATTTTAAAACATAAATAACCTTGAAAAATATTACTTTCCAAGACCACATGTTTTAGAAGAAAGGCTGATCATTAGAAAGGAAAAGTTTAATATTAGTAATTCCCATCACAAAAATGATGTTTAATTTCCTTTCTTTTTTCTCTGAAAGAAAGGCTAAACCTTAAGTGAGCACATCTCAACTTGATCTCCATTAATTGCTGGGTCACCTGCGACTTTGGAGAGAGATATCACCTCATCACACTTGGCCCTGAAGTATCTCTACTGATAGGTTCAGCCTCTGAATTGTCCTTCCCACTCTGGCAAGAGGATGGGATCTTTCCAGGCATATTTAAAACCATACTAGTGCCTTTCTTTGCGTAAAATCACTGTGGTAATAGAAAGTTAATATATTCGAATCAGGAGACAGTAGAATCTTTAATGGAAATACACACCTATATTAAAATTCCAACCCCTGCCACTTAATTTTTTTTTTAATCACAATCTCTATTTCCTTATCTGTAAAATCTAATTTCTGCCACCTAACTTTGTGATCACAACCTCTATTTTCTCACCTGTAAAATGAGGACAACTAAAGTCATCTTGGAGGACTGTAGCTATAGCTAGGTGCCGTCAAACTGATTTTCAACTTATAGCTATTCTATGTGACAGAGTAGAACTGCCCCAAAGGGTTTTCTAGGATGTAATCTTTACCAAGTCTTTCTCCCATAAAGTTGCTTCATGGGTTTCTGTAGTAGTTAAGGTTATATGTCAACTTGGCTGGGCCTGGTTTTGAGTGGCAAGTAACTAGATGTAGTTCTCCCCCATGATGAGATTGGTAATCTACTCTATGGTGGAATCTACTGGAGCAGCTGAGTAGCTGCCTTAGGGATGTGGTCTGTTTCCAGTATAAGAATCAGCTTTGAGAAAGGTCTCTGAAGCTTTTTGGCATGCTTGGACCCTGCATGTAGCCAAGTCTTCATTCAGCAGCTTGCCATGTTTCCTGCTGATCTTAGGAATGTCTCTGGACTTGAACTGGTGGTCAGCCGTGTTGCTTGATAATCTTGGACTGTGCCATTTTATTTTTCCACCTTAGGTCTGTCAGCCTCAGCACCCACCAGCTGACTGAGTTAAGAGAAGCTTCTAGCTTCAGTGGGCCGGGAGCAAGAGGCAGAACTGAAGCCCAAGGTTGAGGGGCTTTCACCCAGACCCTAGAGCTGGCACTTTGAACTTGGACTTCTAGCCTCCTAAATTGTAAGAGAATAAACTCCTGACTTGTTAAAACCACCCACTTGTATTTTCTGTTAGAGTGGCATTGGAGAACAAAACAGTGAACTACCAATCATTCAGTTAGTAGCTGAGCAATTAACCCTTATACAACCAGGGCTTCTTCAGAGGACTGGTCAATTGTGACTCAAAGAGACCCTATAGGACAGAGTAGAACTGACCCACAGAGTTCCAAGGCTATATTCTATATGGAACCAGAGTGCCACATCTTTCTCTACCAGACCAGCTGGTGGGTTCGAACTGCCAATCTTTTAGTGATCAGCCAAGCACTTATCCACTGCACAACCAGGGTCTTCAGAGGACTTTAGGGAAGGTTTAATTATATAAATGGGTCCAGCATAGAGTGGACAGTCAAGACGATTCCTGCCTTCCCCTTTGTCTAGTAAGGCAGATGGCAGCCAGCCTCTACATGGACATCCTTGGTTAGCTGCTATTCTCTATGTGTGAGATAATGCATTTGCCATGCCTTTAGAAAGACTGCATTTCATGTGCCTCCCTAATCCAAGCCAATCTTTTCTTTCTGTGAGGTTTTCCTGAATTGGCCACCAGTTCTCTAAGAACTTAAGTGTTTTTATGTGGTTTTAGACAATTTAAGCAAATCAAGCATGTTTTAGAAAACTCCAGCCCTTATCTTTCCCGACCTCTGTAGGAGGGCAAACCTCAAAAGCTATTCCTCCACCGATTTGATCAATAAGAGCTATTATCTTTGCAGTTTCTCCGATGATTGACTTT